TTTTGTGAAATATGTCACTGGAATCTTAATAGGAATTGTGTTGAATCTATAGATTACTTTGAGTAGTATAGGCATTTTAATGATATTAATCCTTCCTATCCATGTGCTTCCATTTATTTGTATCTTCTTCAATTTCTTTCTTCAGTGTCTTATAATTTTCTGTGTACAGGTCTTTTACCTCCTTGGTTAGGTTTATTCCTAGGTATTTTATTCTTTTTGAAGCAATTGTGAATAGGATTGTTTTCTTAATTTACCTTTCTGTTACATCATTATTGACATATAAAAATGTAACTCATTCCTGGATATTAATTTTGTATCCTGCTACTTTGCTGAATTCATTGATCAGTTCTAGTACTTTCTTGATGGAATCTTTGGGGTTCTCTATGTATAGTGTCATGTCTTCTGCAAATAAAGACAGTTTTACTTCTTCCTTTCCAATTTACGTGTTTTTTTATTTCTTCTTGTCTGACTGCTGTGGCTAGGACTTCCAGTACTATGTTGAATAAGAGAGATGAAAATGGACATCCTTGTCTTGTTCCCAATCTTAAGGGAAATGCTTGTAGTTTTTGCCCGTTGAGTATGATGCTGGCAGTGGGTTTGAAATATATGGCCTTCATTATGTTTAGGTATATTCCCTCTATCCCACTTTGCTGAGAGTTTTTATCATAAATAGGTGCTGGATTTTATGAAATGCTTTTTTCTGCATCTATTGATAAGATCATGTGGTTTCTATCTTTCATTTTGTTTATGTGGTGAATCACATTTATTGATTTGTGAATGTTGTACCATCTTGCATTCCTGGAATAAATCCCACTTGATTGTTGTGTATGATCATTTTGCTGCATTGCTGTATTCGGTTTGCTAATATTTTTTTGAGGATTTTAGCATCTATGTTCATCAGGGATATTAGCCTATAATTTTCTTTCTTTGTAGTGTCTTTATATGGTTTTGGAATTAGGATAATGCTGGTCTTGTGAAATGAGTTTAGGAGTCTTCCCTCCTCTTGAATTTTATGAAATAGTTTGAGAAGGAGAGGTGTTAATTTTTCTCATAACGTTTGGTAAAATTCACCTGTGAATCCACCTGGTCCAGGATATTTGTTGGGAGTTCTTTGACTACTGCTTCAATTTAGTATAATCTGTCTGTTCAGATTATCTGATTCTTCCTGCTTTATTTTGGAAGATTGTATGTTTCCAGGAATTTTTCCATTTCATCCAGGTTGTTGAGTTTATTGGCATATAATTGTTCATAATATTATCTTACGATCCTTTGTACTTCTTTGGTGTCAGTTATTTCTCCTCTTTCATTTCTGATTTTATTTATTTGGGTCCTCTCTCTTGATGAGTCTGGTTAAAGGTTTGTCAATCTTGTTTCTCTTTTCAAAGTACCAGCTCTTGGATTCATTGATCTTTTATATCAGCTTTTTGGACTCTATTTCATCTATTTCTGCTCTGATCTTTATTATTTCTTTCCTTCTATTCACTTTGGGTTTTGTTTGTTGGTCTTTTTAATGTTTCTTTAAGTGTGAAGTTAGATTGTTTATTTGTGCTTTTTAAAGTAGACCTATAACACTATGGATTTCCCTCTTAGGATAGCTTTCCCAGTGACCCACAGATTTTGGATTGTTATGTTCTCCTTTTCTTTTGTTTCAAGGGATCTTTTGGTTTCATCCTTGATCTTGTTGTTTACCCATTCATGGTTTAATAACATGTTATTTAGGTTCCATGTCTTTGTGTGTTCTTCTTGTGATTGATTTCTAGTATCATAGCGTTGTGGTCAGATATGATTTCAATCTTCTTAAATTTATTGAGACTTGTTTTGTGTCATAACATGTGGCCTATTCTAGAAAACGTTCTATGTGCACTTAAAAAGTGCTGCTTTGGAGTGAAATGCTCTGAGGATATCATTAAATGCATTTGACCTAGTGTGTTGTGTAAAGCCGCAGTCTACTTGTTGATTTTCTGTCTGGAAGATCTACCCATGGAAGTCAATGGGCTGTTACAATCCCCAGCTATGACTGTATTTCTGTCAATCTCTCCTTTTGTGTCTATCAAGACTTGCTTTACACATTTACGTGCTCCTATGTTGCGTGTGTAAATATTTACTACAGTTATATCCTCTTCTTTGGATTGTTTCCTTTATCATTATGTATTTACCTTCTTTGCCTCTAACTATAGCCTTGGTTTTAAAGTCTATTTCATCAGATATTAGTACTGCTACCCCAGCTTTTATTTCTTTTCCCTTTGTATGAAATATCTTTTTCTATCCCTTTATTTTTTGTCTGTGTGTATCTTTTGATCTGAGATGGGTCTCTTGGAGGCAGCATATATATGGGTCTTGTTTTCTTACCCATTCAGCTACCCTATGTCTTTTGGTTGGGGCATTTAAGCCGTTTACTATTAAGGTGATTATTGAAAGATATGTATGTAGTGCCATGTTATTGTTAGATTGTTTCTCCCTGTTTTTTTTCCTTCCTCTCTTTCTTCTTATTCCTCTCTTAAAGTAAGACCTTTAACATTTGTTGCAGTACTAGTGTGGTGTTAACAAATTCCTTTAGCTTTTCCTTGTCTGGGGAGCTCTTTATTTCTCCTTTGATTTTAAATGATAGCCTTGCTGGGTAAAGTAGCATTGGTTGTAGGTCCTTGCTTTTCATCACCTGAATATTTTTTGCCAGTCCCTTCTGGCCTGAAATGTTTTTTTGTTGAGTAATCAGATGCCAGTTTAATTGGTGCTCCCTTGTAGGTAATGACCTGTGTTTCTCTTGTGGCTTTTAGGATTCTCTCCTTGTCTTTAAGCCTTGTCATTTTCATTATAATGTTCCTTGGTGTAGGCCTCTTTGGGACTCTCTGAACTTCCTAGACTTGTGTGACTTTTTCCTTCATCAGATTAGGGGATTTTTCAGTCATTATTTTTTCCAGTAGGTTCTTGATCCCTTGCTCACTCTCTTCTCCTGGTGTCCCCATGGTGTGGGTGTTGTTACCTTTCATGTTGTTCAAAATGTTCCTTAAGATCTCATTTTTTTAAATTCTTTTTTCTTTTTTGCTGCTCTGCCTGGGTGTGTTTTTTTTAACCTCATTTTCCAAAACGCTGATTCTATCCTTGCTTCATATAACCTAGTGTTTATTCCTTCTAGTGTATTATTTACCTCAGATATTGCATTCTTTATTTCTGACTCATCGTTTTTCATAGTTTCTATGTCTTTTTCCATGCTGTTGATTATACTTATAGCCATTACTCTAAACTCTCTATGTGATAAATTTCCTGTCTCCATTTCATCTAGTTTTTCTGGAGAATTCTCTTGTTCTTTCATTAGGGGTCTGTTTCTTTGTCTTCCCATTTTGGCTGCTTCTCTGTATTTTCTGCCTTAAATGTTAAACTAATCACTCATTTAAGCTCATCTGTTGTTAATCTGATCAAACTGTAATCAGTAGTCCATCTTAAGAACTACAGGGTAGGGCAGAGTAATTCTTGCCAAGGGGCTATTGCTTCCCCTCAGGCTGATGCCATTTGGAGGGAAATGCTTTCTGAGAAAGATGGCTTCTGCAGTATGGAGAATGATTCAGCATGGGGATCCTGGTATTTTTTCCTTCAGTTCTCTCCTCAGAGCCACCGGCCACAGACTATCCTCAAGCATCTCTAGTCTACTCTGTCCTCCCTCTGCCAGAGGCCAGGGTAAGTGGCTGCAAGCAAATTTGTACATTGACCCTTTCAGAGGCTCTCTGCACCTCCAGCCATCTCTCTCTGGCAGACAGAAACCCTGCTGCTTTTCACAGCTGGATGTTTTCTGGGCTTATTTTCAGCTTTGATGCTGTAGACTGAGGAGCCCAGTTTGGGGTTTAGACCCTATACTTCTCAAGGGAAATCCCCTGGCCACTGAAATATCCCTCCAGAACTTCAGCTGCTGCCCATGGAAGCCCAGCCAGGACTCTTGCACTGCCTCTTCACTGCCTATCAGTCTTGTTTTGGTGAAGTGGTTTCTTCTGTCTGTCCTTGGTTCTTCTCTCCAGCTAGTGTTCAGTTGGTTATCCTGGATGATTTCTCTACAATTTAGATGAAATTCCATATTGATCCTGGGCGGAGGTTAGTATAGCTTCTGCTTACTCCTCTGCCACCTTGGATCTCCTAAAATGTTTTTCTTTATTATTATTTTGTTGTTATTGTTGTTGTTGATTAGATGATACAGTCACATGATTTAAAATTCAACAGGTACAAAAGGATACAACATAAAATGTCTCTCTTCCACTGCTGTGCCCCAACCACCCAGTGTTCTTTGCACACATAACTGATGGTATAACTTTCTTTTGAATCCTCTCTGGACATGAAATATTCATATGGAAGTATAAAAAAGTGGGTGAAAGATATCTATATGACACTGACATTAATATCTATCTATACCTATTATATATAAATCTATAAAGATATAGATGGATATCTTCTTTTAAAGATTTTAATTTATTTTTAGAGAGGGAAAGGGAGGAAGAAAGAGAGGGAGAGAAACATCAATGTGTGGTTGCCTCTTGAGTGGCCCCTACTGGGGATCTGGCCCACAACGCAGTCATGTGCCCTGACTGGGAATCAAGCCAGTGACCCTTTGGTTCACAGGCCAGCGTTCAATCCACTGAGCCACACCAGCCAGGGCTGGATGGATATATTATATCCTCCTTTTTATGCAAGTAGAGTGCATGATAAATACAGATCTGTGAGATAAAGCTATTGTTTTGGGGTTTTTTTTTTTTTTTTTTTTGCTCAGTATTCCATTTGTTTTATCATAATTTACTTAACCAGTCCTCTATGGATGGACATTTAGGTTGTTCAGAGAGAGGAAGTACTCTTCCTCTTTGCAGTGAGTAAATGTAAGATCCTTTATGAACACAGACATATTTAAACGTGAGAATGAGTACATATAGGTGGAGGAGGACAGGCTGGGTAGCACTATTCATGTCTTGATTCCTGAACTGACTTCCCCATATTTTTTTCTTCCTACCATTCTCACCTTGCAGGTAGAGATGAAGGCTTCCTCCTCCTGCAACTGAGTGTGGCCTCCCCAGAAGAACTCACTGACCTCAGAGTGGCAAAGAGACTGATGCACCACGTAAGTGGACACTTTCTGGGCCAGGAGAGTAGAGGAGAGTGAGAGATTCTTGGGAACTCCTGGGAAGATCTGCAGGACACAGAAGCATGACTCTTATGCTTGGGGGGAGTCTAGTTTCTTATGAAGTATTAAAAGCTAAATCTAAAAATCTCTACCTGGCTTTACTTCTGCCTATTTTTCCTGAGTTCTGAATCCCCCATTCTTTGCTATGTAAAAACATTCATTTCCTCACCCCCAGTTTCCTCAGCCTCTTAGAAGGTCATGTCTTCTGGGAGAAGGCCAATCATATTAATGGGCAGATAGGCAGGACTTTTGGCTACAAGTGGCAGAAACCCAGCTCACCACATCTTTTAAAGAAAAGGCAAGGTATTGGCTGAGAAACTTAGAAATGGCTGTTTCAGCTTCAATTATGGCTGGATCCAACAGCTCAAACATGATCATCAGGGTTTCTCTCTCTCTCTCTCTCTCTCTCCATTCTTCAGAGGCTCTCTCCATATGTAAGAAAAGGTAGCTATGACAACCCTAGATTCACAAGGCACTTCCTCTCCCAAGATCTGCATATCATATTTGGTTAGGACTGATCTCATTGATCTACAAGGGGCACCATGACTGACAGCCCAATTTGAACCACATGGATTGGGCAGGACAGGCCCCAAAGGAAATAGGGATGCTAGGCAGAAGAAAGCCTCATTGATGTATAATGTAGATGGAGACCAAGACTGGAATATATTTGTACAACGAATTGGGAAAATTCTGCTAAAACCCAGATCATTGAACAAAATTTCTAGTGGTAAAGTTCTGGGGTTAGAGTTTTTGGGAATGGTTGAATTTTTGGAAGGTTAAAATGGGTCAGCTCAACTTAGCTCTTGTGCCCACATCTTGCTACCAGGGGATGGGGATATTGGGGCCCTTGAAGTTCTCTTAGGGAGATGGAGACCCATCAGACTCCCATAATAAGTATTTTCCTGAATGTGGCATGGAGGGTTTGAAGCAGGACAGCCAAATAAATGACAAATGCCCACTGCACATGATAATCAAAGTAACAAGTTTGAATTCCAGTCAAAGAGGAAAGTCAGGGTTATGTCATATCTGAGCCCCACCCCTCAAACTGGAAACTATTTCAGGAGTTAGGAAGAAACCAGGGAGATAAGAGCAGATCAGGAGCAGAGGTACAGAAGCCAGGTCACAGTGGTGTTTGGCATTAGTTCTTGGGAGCCAGCCCATGGTGTATGGCCCAGGGGTCAAACAAGAAAATTTTGAGCCAGATAGATCTGGGTGTAAATCCTTACATGTGAAATCAGGTAAGTTACTCCACATTACTCTCCTTTCTTATAAAATAAGGCTAATACTACCTGCTTTAAAAGTTCACTGGGCAGTTTAAATGACATAATATGCACAAAGCCCTTAGCCCATGCCCAGCTCATGGGAGGCTTTAGAAATGTTGCTGGCTTCCTCATATGTTTTCTCCCACTGTCCCTTCCTGTACTTGGTCTGTGGGGAGCTCATGGGCCAGATGAGCTGGAAGTACTCACCTGCTCCTTTTGCCCTCCAGCTCCACCGTGAAATGCATGCCCACATGCCTCCCACCCAAGTCTCCCTGCTGCATGTCAGAAGGGACTAAAGAACATCAGCTGCAGCCAGGCATGGTCATGTGCCAAGAGGAGGGCTGTGCTGCTTATGGCCTGGGACCCACAGCAGACTGAAGCCCATTACTACACCAAGATGTTCCTGGAAGGTTCCCATGAAGGTCAGCTGGCCTAAATCTTAACCCCAAATATGGCAGTGGAACCCTGGTTCACAAATGCCTGAGTTACATGGGCAGTGGGACTTTCTCTGTTCCATATGTCCTTGGACTTACCTTGCATATAGATTGTCTTTTAGTAAAGAGTGACCTGATCACCCATCTGTCATTGACCATGAGCTTCCATCTTACAATAAAATGACACTCAATGTGGCCTAAATGTCATATATTTGACTTGTGTGTTTTTGACATTTTTATGATACAGCCTCACCTCTACCTTCCTCCTTCATGCTCCCCTGGTTCTTGGTTTGGACCTGGATTACAGCATTTACTGAGGCTGGCACTGGAGCCTGTTGAACTGTGAGCTCCTTCAGGGGAGTGACTATATTTGTTTATCTCAGCATCCTCTGAACCTAGCAGAGTGCCTGGCCTGTAGTAAGATCACAGAGAATATTTGTTGAATGGACTTGGATTGCAAGTTCTAGACACAGGCAGACTTTTTAAAAAGTCTGTAATACTCAATTATTCCTCCACTTATATCTCATAAATCATATTATGTTATTTTTTAAATTAAATGTGACTTTTTTATATTGTAAAAGTAGAACTTGTTTATGATTTAAATTTTTTAAAAAAATTCAAAAGGACCAAGCAAAAAAAAAAAAAAAAAAAAAAAAAAAAGGAATGGAAAGAGGAGGGGAAGAGAAAGAAAAAAGTTTCTAAAATCTCATTTCTTATATACAGCTATTGTTAATGTATATACTCAACATCTCCACTTGGTCTGAGATACCTCACATTCAACATTTCCAAAATCACAGTCCTAACTTTTTTTCCTTAAACTTGTAGTGCATGCATCTTCTTCATCTCAGTTAATGTCAATTGCACATTTTATATCCAATTCATCAGGAACTTTTGTTGGCTTTACTGTTATAAAAATATGCCCAGAATCTGACCTCTCTTGACATCTCCACTACTCTCATCCTGGTCCAAGCTGCCATCATCTCTTACCTAGATTACTAATATCCTCCTAACAGGTCTCTCTAATTCTACCCTTGCCTCCTATCCCCGGTGTAGTTCCAGTATATCAGCCAGGTCTGTCTTTTTATAATGTAAGGCAGACCATGCCATGCCATGCCTTTGCTCCAAACTCTTCTATTTCATTTAGAGAAAAAGCTACTTTCCTTCAATGCCCTGCAAAGCTGTACATGATCTTCAGCTTTCTTATCTCCACCAACCTTCTTAACTTGCAGAGTGCATTCCAGCCATACTGACTTCCTTGCTGTTCCTTGAATGCATGAGGCCTTGGAAACGTGCTCCTGCCTTGGGACATTTGCATGCATTGCTCAGTCTGCTTAGAATGCCTTGCCTTCTGTTACCCACTCAGCTAACTCCTCCACCTTCTTGACCCCCTCATTGGGTTTACCTGATCACCCTCTTCTACTTCAATTTTCTTCATAACACTTGTCACAACATGACATAATACATATATTATTTATTCGTCTTGTTATTATATGTCTCCCTCAACTAGAATGAAAGAGTTTGCTCACTACTGTATCCCTAGTGTCTAGAACAGTGACTAACACATAAAAGGTGTTCAGTAAATATTTGTTAAATGAATGAAGGAAACAAGGCAACTTGAATATTGCTCTGAATAAAGGGAGTATGTGTATTCAATTGACCCTCTTCTTCTTGCAGAGTGGGGGAATAAAGAGTTTTATAAAGTAGGTTGGAAAAAATTAATTAAAACATTCATCCTGGTATACTTGTTGAATGAGGGGGCCCCCACGTTGGGCGCCAGATGATGAGGTTACTCTCTTCCCACAGAGTTCCCCTGGGTCGCCACGAATGGAAGAAAATAAAATAAGTCGTTCTAGACACTTCTTGGTCTGCTAGGAAAAAGGGGTGGTGACTCCTTCCAGTGGAGAATGCCCCGAGCCCTTCTCTTGAAGTGGCTTTTATTGAGAAGGATATGCACAGGGGTATACAGTGTGCATGCAAAGCTCATCAATCAATAGCAAAAGGTTATGTTTACAGAAAACAGATAGGGGTCATAGGTAACAGTGGAAGGAACACAGAGATTTGCCTCAGGTCAGGGTCTGATAGGGTGGCGCCCATTTGGCCCTGAAATCTGGGAAACTGATCACATTCTATGCTTGATCCCAAACATCAGTACTCCATTAACTTGAGGGCATTCTTAACAAAGTAAATTTCATAGGATTTAATGCATTCCTTTTCCAGGTCTAATTTCCCCCAGGAACCGCCTGATCCAGTTTAGCCTGCCTTTAGTATTATTTCAAGCCTGAGCCAGGTGGGTGGAGTAGAGCAGCCAAGAGATAAGGAGGTCTCTTTCAGATAGAATGAGGACTCTGGCCATGACAAAACCAAGGGGTGAGGGTCTTTTGGCCCTTCTCCATGTCCCCCAAGTCCTTCCCTTCATGGCCCCCATGCGACTGTGCCTGTCTTAGGTTGCCCCTTCCATCAAGGGGTCTTACCTGTCATTCACTAACCAGCCATCCTCTGGGATCAAGCAGGGTGATGTGAGGGAGGCAGGGGCTGCCCCGTTGTCAGGGGGACAGGTTTTGTCTCCTCAGTGGCGTATTTTCCCAAAGCCTCCTTGCTCAACTCCAGCCTTGGGGCCCTCTCGCTTGTTGGCGAGGCTACAGTCCCTGAAACCAGGTGAGAGAGTCCCCGACAGTTGAGCACCTACATTATGTTATGCCATGGAGGACTCAAAGATGTCTTAAAACACAGGAATTAAAGTTAGTAGAGTAAGTTAGATATGTATAGAAATAACAATCTGGAAGAACTTATTTACACCATATAAGGCAAAACCAAAATGTCCTTAATATACAAAGAGTTCTTACAAAGCAATAAAAAGGCAAACACACCATAGAAAAGTAAACAAATGACAAAGATAGACGATTCACAAAGAAGTATAAGTGCCTCTTTTCCACAAAAAACTTGACTTCATCAGCAAAAAGGTAAATTCATACAGCAAGATATTTTTATTGTGCGTCAATATGTAAAAACTTATAAAAATTATAACATTTGTTTTAATGAGGGTATGAGAAAAGGGCACATTTAAATTTTTGTTTAAATAAAACAACTTTTTATTTAATAGGTTTGAATAAATTGGCACAACCTTTCTAGAGAACAATTTGGCTATCCAAAGTCCTAAAAATGTGCAATCCTTCAACCCAGATTTTATTCCTCAGAGTTTATCTTAAGGAAATAATTAGGAATTTGTGCAAAGGCCAATAAATAAATATGTTCATCACATATGTATGGTTTCAGATTTGTACCACACTTATTGGGGTGGTCACTTCATAAGGTATATAAACATCTAATCACTATGTTGTACACATGAAACTAACATAATATTATATGTCAACTATAATCGGAAAACAAATTATTTTTTAAATATTCATTACAGAACTACTTATAACAGCCAATAAAAAACAAAACAAAACACAAATAAGATACCCCAGTGTAGCCATTTGGTCAATAATAGTGTTATTTTACACAATCTATAGAAATGTTATTGAGATGTATATTTATTTACATGGAAAGAAATTCATGAAATATTTTTCTGTTCACTTATACTTTCTTACAATGAAACCATTTTTAAAAAATTCTGAGATACTCTTCACACTATATCCAGAGCTTCCCTTTTCCAAAATTAAAGCTAGTCCTATTCTTAACTACAGGATTAAACCCTCCAACTTTAATTATAAGTGTCTTTGTGATATGGCCTTAGCCAAATTTCTTAGCTCTGTGTCCTACGGCCCTCATCTCCTGTATCCTATGTTCCTCCTACAGAGAACTTCTCACTACTTCCCAGTCACACTTTCTTTGATCAAGAGTGTTTGCACATCATGATTCCTGTCCCTGGAATATTTTCCCTTCCTCTGGTCCCTTCATCTGAAAAACTCCTACTCATGCTTTTAAGCTCAGTTCATTCAGCACCTTCTCATGGTGGCTTTCCTCAAATTCTCCAAAAGGGAGGGTTTCTTAGTCTGTTTATGTTTCTGTTATAACAGTTAACATGCTCTATTATGACTTATTTATTTACAAGTTTGTTAAATCATATGCGCTTCATATGGGCAAGCGTCAGATAGTATTCATCTCTGTAGTCATAAACCCTGCACATGGAGGGCACTCAAATGTTTGCTGAATGACTGAGATGATGGACCAGTGAGCAGACAACCATGAAATATGGGACCTAGGTTCAGAAAATTAAGAAAATGACATTCAGCCCTGGCTGAATGTGGGTTGGAACATTGTCCCATAAACTGAGAGGTTGTGGATTTGATTCCCTATCAGGGTACATGCCTGGTTGCGGGTTTGGTCCTGGGTTAGGGTGCATGAGAGAGGCAACAATCAATGTTTCTCTCTCATATCAATGTTTTCCTCCCTCTCTTTCTCCTTCCCCCTCTCTTTAAAATCAATAATCATGTCCTCAGGTGGAAATTATTTTTAAAAAGTCTTTAAAAAAAGAAAATGGCATTCAATGTTGAAGTCAAACAAAATATAAATTTTATGATGTGATTATTATTAAGCTGCACTATAATTAGGCATAAATGGAGAGCAGTTTGCATAAATGACTATAACCCTGCTGTTATATAAATCTAATTCTTAAAAAATTTTTCTTTTCTTGCTTTGCACTTATACAAATCAGTGGTACCTAATAAAGTATATAATTTAATCTTAATTACATACATTTAAGGACATACAGGTACAGACAATGCTGATCACTGTTATTGAAAGCCAAAAAATTGTAAAATATGGAATATGCTAAATAGAAGCATTTGGGAATCAAAGTGTATAATTGTGTGTGTGTGTGTGTGTGTGTGTGTATGTGTTTCCATATGTGTAAGAGAGGGGTGGAGGGAGAGAGAGA